CAAAGGAATTGGTGTCTAACACATAAAGTCTGTTGAGGACTCTTCCTACAGCAACCAACTTTCTAGTCACCTAGTCCTGCAACAGACCAAAGGAAGTGGAGAAGAAGCAGTCGATTTTAGATGACACTGCTATTTTATTTACGGATTAAAGATATTTGAAAGAAAGTATGTGCAAACAGTCTGTAATTTCTAGGTTTGGAGATAATTTGGCAGTGCCTATATGCTCTACTGATTTAACAGTTCCATAAGGTAATATAACTGGTGTAAAGTGTGTTACTGATCTATAATAAGCTAACAGTTTTAGGAAAGTAGCCATATGCCATGTGGCTTCAGTATCCAAGAACCAAAGTAATGCTAACTCACAGTCAGTTAGATCAAGAGCACTCAAAGCATGATAAGTATTTGTACTAAGAAATCATTATAGTGGGCAAAATTGATCCTCTCTCCTTCTAATGCTGGTCTTTTTCCCTTCATCATCTTTGATACCTTTTGTTACATCATCTTCATCATGTTCATGAGTTGTTCTGCATTTGGCGGTCCCTTCTTTTCAAAATCCAATGGTGTTTTAGCCATGTTTGCTGAGTTCCTTGGCCCTAATGCTTGCCTTCTTTCCTTAAGACCTTTCCACCAATCTAGAAAACCAATCAGTTTAAAGCATCCAACCTTCAAGTGACCTGTTCCTCCAAAATGATCGCACTTTTGCAACTTCTTTAAAGCTTTGTCAATTCTAAAATTGTTCTCCTTGCATGTATTGTATGATACTTTCTATGCATTATTATTTTCATATCCTGTCACTGAGTTACTTTGACTCTTATAACCAGAAGTATTTCCAAAATACTTTGATCCAAATCCTATTCCTTTTCTTTGTACCATCATGGCAATCTGATCTGATGGTTCAACATACAATTTTTGCAATGCATGTTGCTTTTCCACATTAATCAACATAAAGTAAGCCTTCTTAACATCCGGCAATGGATCTATCATGAGAATCTGATCTCTAGCACCACTATAAACATCATTCAATTCACTCAAAAACTCCATTAATTTATGTATGTTTTCCCGAGTTAAATTCGTGCTGAAATTACAATTGCAATCTTTAACAGGATCTAGACAGTTTAGTTCATCCCAAAACCTCTTCAATTTCGAGTAATAAGAAACCAGAGTGAGATTCCCTTGGCTGATTATGAGAACCTCTCTTCTCAAATGATAAATTTGTGGCGCGTTGCTGATTCCATACCTTTCATGCAATTCGTCTCAAACCTCCTTTGCATCTATTGCCAAATCAAAATTATCCACCAGTTCTTCAGAAATTGAATTCAGTATCCATGAAACCACCTTTCCATTGACCCGATGCCATTGCTCATTATCTGGATGATTCTTGTCTGGTTCTTGTACATTAACATTTATAAAGCCAATCTTGTTATTCGTTCCTAAGAATCGCTTCAGATTGTGACTCCATGAAACGAAATTCCGATATGTGAGTTTGTTTGCCACCACCACCATGGATGAATTATCCGATGGATGTAAGAACAGTGGATGTATGTAGCCTCCTCCACCGTAGTTCATCATTCTTTCTTCACTATTGCCTCGATCTCTCCGGTCTTCATCTCGCCGGAATTCCATTTTCAGATTTCAATCGAACAATCTAGAGTTTTCAATTGGTTGAGTTTTCTGGTATAATTTTCGGATTAAAATATAACGTAGACTGGCACGGAGCAAGATCTAGTCCTGTTCTGATACCATCTACAAAATACAGAATCAAAATAAGAGGAAATCGATCAAGAACTCAAGAACATTCATGAACTGTGTGTTACTATGTGTTTTCGTATTAAAAACTGAATTGTATTAATTGTGTATTAGTTTTTTTAAAAAATACGGATATTTAATGAGTCTAAAAACTAATTATACTAACTTTACAATTCTACCCTTCTAGTTTGACTTTATATACATTCAGCCTAGTAGAACTTTATAAATTTACAACTAAGTCCTAATTAGTATATACAATATGTACAATATCTACAAATGTTATCATAGTAGTCAAACTAATCAACCCCTCTATGAATATCAAATGTTTTATTATTGTTAATCAATTACGTGATGTTTTAGCCAACTTAATTAGACATCAAAAACCCTCAAAAAAAAAAATTAATCATCAAAAGTTTCTTTTCTAAAAAAATGAAGTCTGGAAACTCATGGGGTTTTTGATTTGAATTCTGTCAAGCTGTCAAAGATTTAGCTCGTAACTATATTCCCAAAAAGAAAGGCCAAATAAAGCGAACAACGGATTTAATAAATGTTCAATTTTTATTAGTGATAAAAATCTATGCGAACACGTAAAAACAACTAATAATCGTTACTTATTTTTGTGTGTATAAATAATTACCATAACTAGAAAAATTCTCGTCGTCTTTCCTGTGAATTCCATTTTGATTTTGCACAATTGCAAAATTGACAAAAACTATATATATGCACACGGGAGATGAGATGAAAGAAAACTGAAATGGTGACATCACCATCTGGTTTCGATGGATAAGGGGGTAAGCCCACTAATACCGCACTAATATTTGTCTCCCTAAAAAAGGCCCAAAAGGCCTTTCTCTCTCTCTATCTCTCTTCTCTTTTCTCCTTTCACACATTTTTCTGTTTTACAATATATAAGCTGGGCCCCCTATCATTGGCCCCTCTGCTTATCATCCGTACGTTTGCCAATTTGCCACAATGCTTTTCTTGCAAAAGATCTCCCTCTTTTTGTTTTTGTTTTTCTTTTTTTAATTGACCGTAATACTCTATCTAATTATTAGTAATTTCTTATTTAAATATCTCGATGTGATTACAGATTCTTGTATGATTATGTTTCTAATCAAAGCAATTTCAGCTTTTGTACTCTTAATTTGTAAGAAAATCTACCTTTCTGTACATAAAAAGTGGTTATGTTAATAGCACTGTTATCTCGTAAGGTTGCACATTAAATGAAAAAGCATTATTTATTTTCAATATTATTTTTTTTTTGCCAGGGGAACGCGGAGGGCCATCTTTTGCTTTATTCACATTAGCAAAACTCCAGCAAATCTTTGATCAGATTTGCGGCTCGTGCTACTGTTGGCAATTGCCATTACAAGTATTTCTATGGTGTTTGTAATTCTACCATCAACAGCCCCCCTCCCCCCCCGCCAAAAAAAAAAGAAGGAAAAACGTTTGTGAGGCTTCTTATTCTATGCCCCTCCATAAATTGTTTTTTCCATACCCAATTTTGTTATACTCCGTATATAAAAAATAATGTTTAGTGCTTTTCATAGGTGCTCTTATTATATCGTCTAAATTGTCTTTTTTAGGAACTATATATATTATTCTATGTCACATTTCATTCTTATCTCCATCCCAACAAACAAATTTTGTAATCTTGTATGGACGCATCATGGTTTTCAAATTCTAATCATGTTAAACCGGTCCAATTTTTTATTTTTTATTTTGTTTATCATCTAACGCAGTATATAAGTCACATGCAACTCTAGTTGAATCTTGATTGCAAATGAACATTAATTCCTAAAATCAATAAGCCACGTGAAACTCTAAATTTATCTTAGCAAATCGACTATTTGTAACCGAGGTAAAATAAATAATTAAAAAAAAAGTGAAGTCACTGATATGGATTATGGAATGTACTTTTTCAAAATTGCTTCTTTTTTTTTTTTTGGCATTGCGAAAATTCTGGATATGCGTCACTAAAAGAGAAAGCTCATGAAGATCCTGTAATGACCGAAAAAGTTTACGTAAGCTCATGAAGACAATGTGGAAAAAAAAGATGTAAAGATGTACTCAAATTCGGACAAAATGGAAGTCCCATCGTTATATATCATCATATCATTCTCAGCAACACCGTCAAATCAAACAACTGATCATCAATTTCAATTCATCACTAAAGAAAAGAAAAGGAAAAAAAAAAAGTGAAAAGCGAATTGCAGTTTTGCACTTGGGAAAAAAAATCAGAGTACAGATGGGTAGTACCACTAGTACTAAAAACTGTGTTTGGTGGAGCAAAGTTGAAGAAGCTGAAGAAATCAGGTGGTAATGAACAGTGAAATTAGGTCATGATTTAGAAAGTTGATTTTAGAGTAGGGTTTAGTGGGAAGTGCCAGTGGTTGAAAAGGGAAACACACAGGTCCATCAACGCAATCATTCGTTCCCTTCTCTCTTTAATTTTTGGGTGGAAGCAACCCAGCTAGCTCATTCTAGTAGTCAAGTTAAATCATGAAAATTTCTCTTTCATTTACACACTAACAAAACAATGTTATGGAGTGTCCCAATCCAATACCTAATAAAACCATTGGCTTAACAACCGATCTTGCACTCGAACTTGTTTATTTAAAATCTGTCTAAAATAACTTATTTCCAGTTTGTTTATTGAAGTAAATTTGAATTTACTTATATGAAATTTTTGGTGATCCCAAAAATAGAACAAGAAAAAGAAGAATAAAATCATGGACCTGAAATACTTCCGGTGAAATTTCCTATTAATAACATCGAAATAAATATAATTTCAATGGTAATGTGTATTTATTATTTTTTACTGTCAATAACAATATATTCATTTCTTGTCCTCATCTCATTTGGTTCAACAACCTTTTTCTTCCCTTTCCTTTTTTATTAATATCTTCAGTATGTCATTGTCAAATTATCATTTATTACACGTATTACGTTATTTCATTTATACTAAAAAAATGTCATCTCTGGACCACGTTATTGGAGAAGGAAGAAAAAAAAAAATTACAGTGACGCTCTTTTCACCAAGGAATGTGTAGAAACCCACAGCTTTCACTGAGAGTTTAATATCTTTATGAAAAAAAAAATGGACAGCAAGTATTACTTCTTCCATAAAATAATAGAATAACTCTTGTTGAGATAAAATGTACTCGCTCTGTCCCAAAATTATTATTCATTTTGAAATTTCATATTTTGTACAATTTTAACTAAAAATGAAAATTCAAACTGAACAATAATTATGGGACGGAGGGAGTACCATCCTCTTTGCATCTTCCGGTAAGAGTGGTACAATGGAATTGACGTGGAGAAAACAATGGCAACCAACCCCAAATTGCAGTATTTTATAGTACTACACACTTGGCTAATAATCGCTTAGAATAAAGCTCCAAATCATTTGTTCAAAGGTTTAAAGGAAGTGGAATCCCAGTCAAAAGACTAGTTTATTAAACACGTACTTGTTGTTTATTGCCATAAACAACATATTCTCCTTTCCTAAACTACCATCCTCAGGAAAGATGTCCATTAATTATGAAATTCCAAAACTGCCAAAGTAAAAAAAAACGCTAGTAGCCCTCTTCGCCCCTTGTATTTTCATGAACCAGATGCATTTTTTTGGAAAAAAAAAATTACGAATCAAGTGAGCACCATATAAAATTACATCGTTTTGTTTCTTAATTTTGTGTTTTAAGTGGGCTGGAAAAAAAAAATCAAGAAGCCAATATAATTATCTGGAAAATGTTAAAAGACGAAAATTTTGTCACCCTCGTATATAATTAACAGTGATTTGGCCGATGGTTTTCGAACGTCTACGAAGAATCTTCAGGGAAAAAGAAAAAAAAAGGATTATGATGAATTTTTTTGAGGTGAAACCATTATACATGTTCTGTACAAGAAATGGACAAAATTAATACAAAGGGACCGCCATTGTCGGCGGCTTCGGCGTGGGCGCTGGCGGCTTCTTCTCCGGGACCTCGACGACTATATTTTCCAGCTTCGGCGGCGCGCATGGACACGGCATTGCTATGAATTTCGGAACGTCATCCCCCGGCATCAACACCGGCAAACTCTGGCTCTGAGTCGGCTTCAAATCCTACAAAAACAGAGAAATAAATTCCAATTAATTAGAAATTAATTACAGGATCCCTTTGTAGTTGAAACTGAATTCATTTTAAACCACCATAATAAATCTGAATAAAAATTGCATTAAATTGAATTGAGTGATCGATTAATTTACCATGTGGGCTAGCTTGGCTTTGGTGGTATCGTCATCTTCATCAGCATCGGCGTCAGCAAAAGAGCGGCGGAAAGATCGGAGCTTGTCCCAATGGTAACAGCAAGAGAAGATCCCGCTCAAGCTAAAGATGATGATTAACAGAAGCGCCGTTCCGAGAGGAAATCCGAGTGACGGCCGGGATGAAGAGTCGACATGGAATTGGGGCGGCGGCGGCGAGAAATCTGTGATATTTTCTAGCATCATCACACGAACCATGGTTTTTGCTGCTGCTGTAATAATAATTACTGAAACCACCAACCAATATTAATAATGAATCCCCTGCCTCACTCATGGGATGGGAGGAACAAAATCCCCCACCTCAAAAAAAATTTAATAAATGAAGAAAGGAAAAAATCCAATCTGAAATCAAGAAACAGAATTGGAGAAGCCACAAAAAATTGATTTTGGAAGACAGAAAATGATAAAAAAAAAAAAAAGAAAGAAATAAAAGGGTATTTAGTAGGTTCTAGTAAGAAGGGAAGGTTGTGGGTTGGGAAAGTGTGAGGAGGAAATGAGGAAGAGAAGGGGAGTATTTATAAAAACGGGGAAATGGGCTTTGGGGGTTTGGGTACATGTTGAGTACCGCTGATGGTACGGAAGCAAATACCTGGATCCCACATGCTTTTTGTTTGTGTTTGGTGACTCTTTGGCTAATAACGCATCATTGCTAATTTTGCTGCTAATTTGCTAGTTTTTGGACCCATTTGGGTTTTCTTTAATTTCTAGTAATATTTTTTAAGCCATCTTTTTGAAGTGGAGAGCACAAAAGCTATATGATACAATGACCTGTGTGCGTACTCGATCAGGAAGGTGGAAGAAAATGATGCACGAGAGAGCGAGATACTGCTCTTTACTAGTTTATTGTCATGTGAAACAATTGAAGCATCATATACTCTTTCTGTCTCAAAATTATTGTCCAGTTTGAGATTTCATTTTTTGGTACAATTTGAACTAAAAATAAAAATTCAAACTGAACAATAATTATGGAACGGTGGAAGTAACTGTTTTCGAAAAACCGAATGCAAATAGTGTTCTAGTTGATCAATGGAGATTTTGTTTAATCTTGTGTATTGCATTCGATCTCTATCATGAGTCTTATTTTAAAAATGGTCCAAACTAAACGAGAATTATTTTAAGCGCAATATGTATTCATCTAAAACCGTGTATGATACTTGTACGAGAAAAATAAATATTCTAAATTGTTCTATTGTATGCAAAATAGACAAATTAACCGGAGCCCTCATTGTCATTGTGTTTTTATTTTGCACAATTTCGGACGGAAGTAGGGCAATGAAAGGCAACTTCATTTTTGGCAATATTGGATTTGGACCAGCATTGGGGCTAAGTTCTTTCCCGCCCTCTAACTCTTTCTTCAAACAACAAAACAAAACCCCCATAAAAATATGATTATCATTATTATAAGGTTTTTTGAGTTTTGGCATTAGCTGTAGTGTCCTGGGGAATACTGCAATTTAACTTGGGTAGCACGATAATAATTAGAAAAAATTATCTCGAAGCGAAATCGAGTTTGATCGTCCCACCCTCATATAATATATTAATCCAAGATATCTGCGTACGTATTGTATTAGATTTCAAGTCACTATCGGGAAACATCAATAACGCCTTCGCCAGCAAATACCCATGTTACGGCCGGTGTCGAGCATCCGCAGGCAGTTTTTTTTTTTTTTTTTTTTTAATTCTGTGAAATCGGAAATACTAATATATTCAATGTGAAAACAATTCCCAAACCACGTTGATCTGGCGGTCAAATCTTTTTAAAATCAACGAATATCCAAAAAATAGTTCGGATTACGGAGTAATATTTTAAGAGTGAAGGGGTCTATTTAACTGAAATCCGATTGCAGTTGTGTTTAATGTTTATCATTTAACTCCGAATGTCCGATATGTGTCCTCCATTAAATCTGCCTCTGGCTTTTTTTGTTGACCTTTTGAGTTCTTAAAGGTCATCTTGAACAATAAGACCAGAGCGGCTGCTCGAGATCGCATATAACACTATTACATCTTCTAGTTTGAATGACGACTGAACCCGAAATAAACTCCATGTGATACTTCTAATTTTTTTCCCCTTTCCTCTAATTATTTAGTACGGTCAACAATTAGTTATTGAACCAATTGCTAGTTACTATCTTCGTCCCAAATCTTTCTTCTGTTGAATATACCAATATGCTACTTCCTCCGTCCCACAAAAATAGTCTACATAAATTTTGAATTTTATACTGTTTTTAGTACAAATTTAAAAATTCAATGTGAATTTTTTTTTTAGACGGAAATAGTATCTTTTTTTCTCCAAAAAATAATTTATATTGAATTTTGAATTTTGTATTAAAAATAGTACAAATATTAAAAACTCATGTGTAGAGTATATATATTTTTTTTTGGACAGAAGTAGTAATAAATTAGAGTTTTATTTTAGGACAACGGAGAACTATAAATAAAATGATTTGACTACCCAAAAATTGCGGGAAATAAAATTGCAGCTTACTATAAACAAGTTCAAGTGCAGAGAATCCAGAAATGGGAAAGGGAAAGACAAATGGGAAGATATCAACAATTTTCCAGTTGACAGATTAGCGGCACTCTGAGAAGTAGTGTAACATATCTGTCATGTCATGCATGTTGATCTTGATCCTTTGGTCGAAGAAATTTTGAAGGTTGAATGGCTGCTAGGCTTTACTTTTTGGAAGAAAAAAAATTATGTCACATTCATTACTCACTTTTATCAAAACATTGATGGTTCCAGTTCCCACCTCGACGGCTCAATTTCATTAGTTATTTTGTTTCTTTGAAGAATTAAAAACAAGCGATTTATTCTTAATCCAATCAAAAAACAGATATATCCTCAATAACGTTTGAATCAAACTCTCCAAAGTTATATGGAAACCAAGTTTAAAGATGGCGATATTCGGTCCTGGCCGGTTGGCTCAATTCATATGTCACGTACGTTATCGCGGAAATTAAAGACTATTTCGAGATAAAGATGAAAAATGGCATCTTTAGTCAACACATAGTAATCGCGCTCCCGCCATTTTAGATGCGAGAAGTTTGAGAGATGTCCTATTCGTATATTATAATACAAAAAGACATCAAAAGAGCACGAGCATCCCATAAAAATGTATAGTACAATCTTGATGTTGATAAAAGTTGAATCCAATTTGAATTTCTCTTGTTCAGGAGGCTTCAGAGTAGTTTTATCAGTATAGTGAGGCAGGCAGTCAGTGAGGCAGCCAGAAACTGGTACAAAAACAGATAGATGGATAGATAGAATATTAACTGGACTTTTTTCAACATATATGCAAGTGGATTCCCATAAATATCTACCTTATAATCTCTAAGTTGCATAAATATCCTAAGTTCATAACTTCAACCAAACTTTAATATCTCTCTTAATGCCTCAGCTGATGGAAGCCACTATATCTGGCACTTTCAACTAGCTACCGTCCTCATTCCTCAGATGCAGATTGTTAATCATCATTGCAATTTTGACGTCTTTTTCGATGAAATATATCCTTGTTGTTGTCCCACCACACTCGAGTACTTTGGATCTATAACTCTCCTCATTACCGATTAATTTTGAGATGCAACCTTAAATGTTTCAAAAAAATTTGTTAGTGCATATAAATTAATTCCACAAGTCATGTACGCAGTTGATAATTTTTGCCAATATGCAACAAACCAAATTCAAGGATGCTAAGTTAAACTGGTCCAGTAATTTGCTTATTCATATTCTACAATGTGAACAGAGTACTGTTGCTGGTGTAGGGGACCTTTTAATCGAGTTGCAAATCCGATTGTGATTTAGGACAATGTCTTCTTATAACTTCTATCGTAGTAATGGTAGGTCAAGCGTGGAAGCTGAATATCCCTTATCCTTAGTTCAACTTGGTACTTCTGTAAGAATCCATGTCAAATTAAGATACTCTCACCAATCCAATCAATTACATAAGTCATATTCCAGTTCCATAATCCATATTCATTATAATTAAGAAAAGAACTTTATTTTTGCTGTTTGAGACAACACTTAAAAATGATGATTTAATTAGAGGTATCTACACTATTACAGTAGAAATGAAACATATCGCGAATGCTAATGAGATATTATTAGCATCTTACTCGCCAAAAGGGTTCTAACTTAAACATCTTACTTGCATACTTTCTTCACAGGATAACATGAATGAGTATAAAACGTTTTAACAATCATGACACACGACTCGATCAATTGCCAATTACGTTCAAAAGTGGTAAATTCCAACTGCCAACTGGCTAGCAGCAACTATAAAGGATGTCATTTTCATGCCTTGTTGTAATATACCAAAGTCTAGTCTGCTGCGCACAATTTTTGCTTTCAGGGTGACAGCCGCAACGTTAAATTGTCATCACGGGCATGAAAAAGAACTGTGGTAGTGGTACTACTACTTACTACTACTGCTCAGTGTTTGGAACTTTGGCGTTTTCGGGGGTTTGATTTGACTAGATCACTTGTGTTGTGTTACTTCTAACCCAGCTGACTGGTTAACTACAAATACAAATGAGAATATTCGATGGCGAAATTTATGATATCCTCCATTGGAGATGATTTTACAAAAAAAATAAAATAAAATACAATTTTGTAACATATTTAAACTTTTGTGCCGGCGAATCTCAACTACTGAAACTAATAGAGCCCCATGATAACCTTATAATAAACTCAAAACTTTATTGAAAAGATGGCTTAAATGGGTGCCAAGTAAATTATATTCGTCCTAGTTGTCGAAATTATTCCAACAGTACTCTAGACTGCATTGGTGCTTATCGTTTGACTACCCATTTGGATATACCCAATATATATAGATTGATACTTATTTGCATAATCTCTTAAATTTAATTGTGTGCATGCATCCAATTTGCTTCATCGAGTGGATACAACTCAAAAGTTAGCCCATTAGAAAACAAGCAATTTTGAATTTTGGAAACTCCAGTGGCGGTTTTAGCTTTCTATACAGTAAACTTACAAAAATAAACACATTGATTCCTGGAATTTCCCAGCTTCGTCAAGCAAAATATTTGTTGCATATATACCAATTGGTATGGTCAAATTGGAGCACTTATTAAGAATACAATGTAGCAAGAAATACAGTGAACGCAATGAAGTTTAGGAGAAAATTTTTACCAGACCACAAAAAAAAAAAAAAAAAAAAATGGTCGATGAAATAAAGGAAAACCGCGTACAAAAGAAATGATGGATACATTTTAAAAGAAATTTCATATCTCTTCATGATTCCTCAAACCTTTATTTGACTATGAATAATACAAAGCACTTGGGGATTTTAAAGTCGTGGGCTTATTTATCACTTCAACACTTATAAAGCTTCTGATTTCCGCGCTTCTCCCGCGAAATCATCCCCATTGATTTTTTGTTCCTCAGTAATCATACTAAGCGCACTGACATCATCAAATAGTAATAACTTCAAAAGGCTGCGAAATTCAGCAGTGAAGTGAGGTTTGTGCATGGCCATTTTGTATGGCTATCGCTACTGCACTTTAGGACACTTGTTTTTGACTTGTTCACTTTATTATTATACTATAATAACAACAATCGGCTGCAGCCTATTGGGTTTTACAGAAATAGGGGGCCAAAGAAAAAAACAAACATCTGGCAGATATAAATGGTTTGGACTGTCATATTGTAATTACAAAGGAACAAATTTGCAGTTTTTGTAAGTAATTAGCAAAGTTGTATTAGTGCAAATATTTATTTCTTATCATGATTGTAACACAACTTATAGTCAGGATCTTCTCACCAACTT